ACTGAGAAAAATCGTATTTAAACACACGTAAAAAATACGATATTTTTACGTGTGAAATATCATTTGTTGTAAAACGCATTGCCACGGACGTTTTATTGGTTTTTAATGTTGTGTTGAACATGATATCTCACTCGTTCGCTGCGCTCACTCGTGAGATATCATGTTCAACACTCGAAATAAATCTGGTATTTCCAAGCATCCATGTATTATTCTCTATTTATCTTCACCCGTTCGAATCCTTAGCAATGAAGTTGTTTAATCAGCATTTAAGAGGTATGTATATGACGCTATATGCAGTTTTTTTATCACCGAGGTCACCGTGGTTATTTGTTCGCTAAGACGGCCTTTTTGGTTGATTTTGGCCATATAGATGGTGACGTCATGTTGTCATGGTAACGTGAAGAGTAGCGATTGTGGGTTAAAATTACTCTTTTATATAAGAGGAAACAATGGCTTGTGCAAAAAATTATTTTTTTAGATTCAAATATATAGCTTCTAATTTAAAACACTGACATATATTGGAAATTGCAGGGAGCCTCCTTAAATGAAATTTGCTTGTCTACTGATTTTACAAATGACACCCCGAACACCAAAATTGCTGCTTCAAACACATACACAATAAGAATCCACATCTCATTAATTTGTTCTTACCCCTTCACAGCACTCTTACCATACTGTTACTGCAAATCTTTACTAGCAAAAGAAGGACTAGTGAAAGTAGCGTTATCACAACAAATTTCAACAAATTAAATTTGCCACAAAAACTGTGTTTTTGACTTCCAACAGCGGAAATACTGCTGCTTTAAGCTTAGAAACATGATGAGGTGTTATAAATTAGCTCCCAGAATCAAGGAAAAAGTATTCGCAATTAATGTTATTAAAGTTCGAGAAATATATTAAAACTGGAGGAGGGCACTGTTTCAGGGTTCAATGGGCTGGCATCAGTAAATGAATATAGTTTTTTTCTCTTCGAAAGAAAGGGTCATTTTAGAGAAAAGATTCATTCAACGTTTTCTTTTCGTGCTATGAAACAAGAAAAAAGACAAAACAAAAAGGGTAGGGGGTTCAACTATCTTGGCCGGGCTGTCGCACGCCTCCTATTCACAAGTGCTATCCCACTACTGTTTGACGCGGGAACTTTTGTCTGCTATGTTTTCATCCTGGACCGGTACGTTCCTCTTTATTCAACCTGGTGGACGAAGGTTCCCCTAGGTTCACCATATTGACGCCCAACTTAGTGTGGACACCCGATCGACATAGGTCGACGTACGACAGGAGTCCCGACCTCAAGTCATTCGACACTAACTGCTCCGTAGTAGCTCGGTTACAGGCGCACGCCACCACGCCCAGCAATCACTTCACTAAAATTTATTGTATTTAAAGGCAGCCAACATGCGCGATTGATAAAATGCGGACGGCGAAACACGTGCGATGGACGGCGGAACATTTTATAAACCCATAATTAGTTGATTACTATACCGCCATCAGTACCATAAATTACAGTCTAACAGCCTCACATAAACGAATTTAATAATTTATTATATAAACATAAGTGTTATATAGAGTTTTTGGTCACTGAGAAAAATCATATTTAAACACACGTAAAAAATACGATATTTTTACGTGTGAAAATATCATTTGTTGTAAAACGCATTGCCACGGACGTTTTATTGGTTTTTAATGTTGTGTTGAATCCATGCGAATTCTTAGCAATGAAATTGTTTACAGTGGAAGTCAAGTCCGTTCTGCGCATCGGTTCTGCTCATAACAATGTGAGGGTCCTCTAATGTGAACATTGCCGATTTTTTGGTTGATATAGGTCATATGTAGATGGTGACGTCATGTTGTCATGGTAACGTGAAGAATAGTGATTGTGGAATTTACTCTTTTTTATAAGAGAAAACAATGGTTTGGCTGTTCAAATAGCCTTTTAGTTTAAAACATATATTGGAAACTGTAGGGAGCCTCCTTAAATGAAATTTGCTTGTCTACTAATTAATTTTTCAAATGACACCCCGAGCACCAAAATTGCTGCTGAAAGCAATGCATACACAATAATCCAAATCTCATTTTGTTTTTACCACTTCACTGCACTGTTACTATACTGTCATTTCTGTGACTGCTCATCTTTACTAGCAAAAGAAATTAATGATGCAAACGGATCTGTATACCTTACTTTAAAGTGAACTTAAGCTCGATTCTTTTTATCGTCTCATTCTTAAGAACTTCTGAAACTGTATAATAACTTATTTTGAAAATTTTCGCTTGCTCATTTTGTGATTGAGTTATTTCAGTTTTATTGATATGTAAATGTCCGGAGTTTACGTCACATATAAATAATGACTCATCAAAGAATTAATGTATTAAGGTACAGTTAAATATCATGAAATAAAAAGTCTAAATGGTGTTTTACATAGGTATGTAATCCTCCGGTAACTCCAAACTTCTTTCCAATGAATTCTAATGAATTAATCTCGATCGTGAATACGATACACAAGCTTTACTTTATATCATTTACATTATTAAAAGACAGCAGAATCTGCAAAAAGACTGGCGATCGAGTACGACTTAATTATGGAGCTGTCGGCGACTGCAGAACCGAAGCAAAGTTATCCTTTATCTGATCAGGTTTTTTTTTCAACCAAGTATTTTACACCAAAATTGAACAAGTGATAAAGAATATGCCATCCAAATAAAGCACCAGGTTATCATAAAATTTCTATCAATGTTTTTAAGGATTGTTACCCACATATTTTATCAACCCTAACATGCCTTGTTAATGCCAGCTTTAGACAAGAGGTTTTTCCCCTTCATTGGAAAAAAGCAGAGGTTATACCACTACATAAATAGGGGGATCATGAAATTGCAGTGAATAATCGACCTATCTCATTGCTACCTGTACTGTCAAAGGTCACTGAACGTGTTGCATTGGAACAATTTACTGATTATTTGATTGAAACTAATAAGTTAAATAAACACCAGAGTGCATGGTAACCGTAAAAACCATTCCACTGAACTTTGCAGCTGTTTTTAACGGAGTGTATATATCAATCTATATAGATAGAAAGAATCTTACAGCTGTGATATTACTGGATCTAAGCAAGGCGTTCGACAGTATAAGTCATAATATCCTGTTGGAAAAACTTCGAAAGTTTGGAACAAGTGCGTCAGCTACTGTTTGGTTTCGAAGTTATCTTAGCGAGCGTTCAATCTGTTAGAGTGGGACAGCATTTATCTGATATGCAGCGTGTTACACACGGCGTACCGCAAGGATCAATCTTGGGTCCACTACTATTTAACTTGTATGTTAATGAAACTATCAGCATGTGTAAGGACTGTAAGAACGAATCGTTCGTGGACGACTCAAAACTCTTCTTATCATTCTCAATCAGTGATATTGCCGAGAGTATGAATAAATTGAATGCAGATTTAAAACGAGTTGCTGCCTGGTGTTGTTCAAATTCCTTGTTAATAAACCCAGGGGAAACCAAATTTCTTTTGTTTGGAACCAAGCAAGCTCTGGCCAAGATAAATCTACCACCATTACAATTTCTTGGTGAGGAATTAACCCCAGTTCGCTGTGCAAAAGATCTTGGAATAATAATGGACGAATGTCTTTCTTTTACCGATCATACCCAGAATCTTACATCTAAACTTATGGGATCATTGTGTCATATCAGCCGAGTTCAACACTTATTCGATAAGAAAACTCTGATATCCATAATCAATTCTCTTGTGTTTAGTAAATTGTATTATTGCTCGACTGTCTGGGCAGGTACCTTTAAAGAGAATTTAAGGAAATTACAACTGGTTCAAAATTTTGCTGCTAGAATAATTTCTGGCAAGAGGAAATTTGACCATATTTCATCCACAATTAAAGACCTTGGATGGTTATCAGTCCAGGACATGTTAGTTTATCGTGATGCTCAAATGGTATATAAAATTATTAACGGTAGTGTACCGTTGTATTTGAAAAAGTTTGTAAAGAGACGTTCTGACGTACACAACCGTAGCACTCGTAATAGCCATAATCTTGATATCCCAAAATGTAGAACAAGCTTTGCCCAACGTTCATTTGGATACAGAGCTATTAAATTGTGGAATAGTTTACAGAACAATGTTAGAGAGAGTACTTCATTGAACACTTTTAAACAGTCATTAAAGACCTGGCTCCTTAATGCCTAATTTTTACAACTAATACATAACCTTTTAAATTCTGTATTTAGACACTCCATTCTATATCTATACTAAGACCCCGTTTACACGGTACCGCACGAATTTGGGAAGGGACGAAAATTCGTCCTTTTTCGCCTGTTTACACGCGAATTCGTCCTGTTAGGGGGTCTCAAATTCGTCCAGTTCCGTGGTTCTCGTGTGTTTACACGGGCCGAAACGGACGAATTTTCGTCCGGTCACAAATTCGTCCGGTACCGTGTAAACGGGGTCTAAATATTGTAATTTATAAGTTATCTCAAATATATAAAATGTAGCCCAAAGGTTGTTACATATATTATTAAACAGATCATCTGATCATGCAGGTGGCATAAATAAATGTAATTTGCTGTGTTGGTGTAATGTACTCAGGTGAATAAGATGCTTGTATGATCTTACTCTGATTGTATATCCTCACCAGGCAGGCTTGAAAAATATACCTGGCCACGGTGAGATTCGAACCTACGACATTTGGAGTACTAGCCCAATGCTCTGCCAACTGAGCTATGCGGTCAGGTCGGTTCGAATATGCTATATTTCTGAACTGAGTTTAGTTCCTTCGATATCAGTACAATCTAATAATCATAATATTTGCTGTGTTGGTGTAATGCACTCAGGTGAATAAGATGCTTACAAGTGTGATGTTACTCTAGTCACGGTGGAAAATATGCCTGCCCAGTGTGGATATACACTCGGAGTAACACCATAACATCACACAAGCATATATAAAACTATAAAATGAATTCATATAAAGTTTGAAAGTTGCCACACAACACATCAAATTAACAACTTTTATCTAAATAAATATTAATAGAAACTTATGAAAGTACCAGTTAATTGGAAACAAATCGATAAATTCTCTCAAACCATGTTTACCTCGGACATACCTAGGTAGGCATATGAGAATTGAGTAGATCAAGTAGATGCCAAGCTATATTATTTTATACAAGGAACACTGGATCTGGCAATCTGTCATATACACAACTAGTCTATTTGGCATTACAACAAACATAATTTGATATAAAGGCTGAGTCAAATGTAAGAAGCCTTTGTATCAAACTAATGTATAATTTATATTGTCGCAGCGAATTCAAATTTTAGGACGGAACACATGCTCAAAATTCACGAATGAAGATAGTAAATATTTCCTTTCAAAATTGCTCTGTTATATAGAAAACAAAGCAATATTCTTACCTGGAGGTTACCCAGTCATCCCTGATGTTCCATCTTCGCTAAAATATAGCGTCTTCCAGTAAAATACTATAAATCTTTCGATCGTGCAGATGAAAAATTAATTCACTGCATTTCAAAAATATGGCGTTGTGATCGAATGATGCTATCCCAGGAAACTTTGCGCGTGTTGTAGGAAAACTAGGCACCAGTCTGTCAACCGTCAAAGAGCGCAAATCATGAGAATTTTCGTTTCAAAATGGTCTTTTGTATAACAAAAATACCTACCTCCACAAGCTATAATATAGTTCCCATGAAGTCATGAAGAATTTAAAATTAACTCAACCCTCAATCAAAACGTTGGTATCGAAATTGAGGAGACCGTACTCAGGCCTGGAACACCTGGGGGCCCAACTTGCGGGCAGGGGGCCCTGGCATGCTGGAATTGCGAAATTTGTAAAATTAAGGATTTGTTCGGTGAATTATGGAATTTTCTGGGAAATTTAGGTCGAAAATTATTGTTGCGAAAAATTTTGGGGACTGTTGTTATCGGAAACATAACGCCGCCGCCCCGCCCCCCGCACTCGCGACCGTCTTCCGGAAAAAAGTGTTTTCGAAGGGGCCCTGCAAGGGTATGGAGGCCCAAATTTTTTAATACCCCTCCCCCCCCGCCCCAATCATAAACCGGTTGGCACGGCCCTGTCGGTTTATACTATAATAATTAGTCAGTATAGTCTTAGTTAAATATAAAATGCTTGACGAATTAAGTTCAAGAAATTTGAAGAAGGAATATCTTCAAAGAACTGCCAGCATTTCACATGTTGTCTTTTTTTCTCTTGTAACATAACGGTTGTAAATGTAGTTTCAAATCGAGTTGCAAATCTATTTATTTGATTTTTTGCAAATCTATTTATTTTTTACCCCTTCAGGGCCCTCTTCCATGACCATGGAGTCAAAACTACCCTTGGAGTTGAAACAGGGGCGTAGGAACCAAGGGGCCAGGGGGGCCAAGGCCCCCCAAGTTTTCAAAAGTGCCCTCTTTTCGGTGGCAAAGTGCCCTTTGTGTTCGTGAGAAATGTTGTCAGGGGTGCCCTTTTCATTCTAAAAGTACCCCTCGAAACCGCCCCCCCCCCAACTTTTTTATGATTCCTACGCCCCTGAGTTGAAACGACCCTTTCGAGGTGTAGAAACTATACCCTCTTTCCAAAGAGACGGAAATGACACCTAGGGTTAAAAAAGGTCAGATCTACTCTTTTGAATTTTAATACAGTGTAGGCCAGTTCCAATTACAATTCACTATGACATGAATTAGGCTACGTGTATGAAATTACTTTAATTGTCATATGTGAAATGTATAATTTCATAATATGTGAAATATATAACTTGATTTTCATGTATGAAAATTCACATATGAAATTACCAATATTCACATATGAAATGGATTTCATATATGAAATTTCTTTTTTCATATAAATTGAATATAACTTCATATATGACATGAAATTTAGTTTAATGGATTTCATATATGAAATTTAGTTTTTCATATGTGAATTGTATAACTTCATACATGACTTGATTTTCGATATATGAAAATTCTTATATGAAATTACCAAATTTCAGTGTGAAAAGGATTTCATATATGAAATTTAGTTTTTCATATGTGAATTGTATAACTTCATATATGACTTGATTTTCATATATGAAAATTCTTATATGAAATTACCAAATTTCACATGTGAAATAGATTTCATATATGAAATTTCTTTTTTCATATGTGAATTGTATATAACTTCATATATAAATGACTTAATTTTCATATATCAAGATTGTTATATGAATTGAAATTACCAAATTTCACATGTGAAATGGATTTCATATATGAAATTTAGTTTCCATGCATATGTGAATTGTATAACTTCAAATATGACTTGATTTTCATATATGAAATTTCTTATATGAAATTACCAAATTTCAGTGTGAAATGGATTTCATATATGAAATTTAGTTTTTCATATGTGGATTGTATAACTTCATGCATGACTTGATTTTCGATATATGAAAATTCTTATATAAAATTACCAAATTTCAGTGTGAAATGGATTTCATATATGAAATTTAGTTTTTCATATGTGA